AAGTAACGTTGCTAATCCACTCTCACTTTCAGCTTGTTAAGGCTGAAGCCAGGCGCCATTTTTCAAGCCACTTTCACTCACTCACGCTTCTACTTTAAATCACAGAAGTAATAATACTTGCAGTTTCGGGGTTTGGAGGTTCAAGTTATTATCTCCCCCTGATTATTTGAGTTAATTTTATTTAAATAGAAAGGTTGCTCCTGCCGACTTGCTCTGCGCTGGGCAGAGTCGTCTCACGCCGTCCGGAGTCTCGGCGAGTTGAAAGGGAGCCGCACCTGTTTCCTCCCCAGTAACAGCTGTCTGGGGGCTCACAGGGGCTCAACCCGCTCCTCGCCCACTCTCTTCCACAAATCCTTCGGAATTGGGAACTTCCAAGCCGCTTCTTTAGATCAAAGCGGCTCTACAGGCAGCGGGGCTGGCGGTCCAAAAACGGGACCGTCTTTTGTCAGCAGCAAGCAAACCGGAAGTCCTAGTAGCCGCAATTTCATAAGGGATGAATGAAGGAGATGCTTCAGACTGGATAGCCCAGCTACACAATGAGGGTGCAGCCGACCTAAATGATGCTGAAGGAATTGTTGAGCTGCTCCAGGCCCGATTCAATGACCCTGACTCAATAGAACGAAGCCACAATAAAGGAGATGAAGCAAGGTAACCGACCCATAAAAGACTTTGTATAGGACTTTAGATGGGTTGCAGGGAGCCTTGTCCATTGGCCAGACCACATACTCTTACACTATTTTAAAGCCATTGACCAAGAAGTCAGGAAAGCATGTGGCATCAGAGGGGTGCCAGAGCGACTACAGGACTGGTATACCATGTCCATAGCTCTGGAAGAGAAATTTGCCCCCTCCACAAAGCCCAACAGAAAAGAGAGAACTCTGGCTAAATGTCTACTTTCAAAGCCTGCTGAAGTCCCTCCACTCATCCTGCAAGGGTGATTAAATGCTATCATTGTGGACAAACGGGTCATCGAGCTTCTGAGTGCTTGGCCCCTGCACCACTTCCACAACAGCGCCTGGCCACGGCCACTCGAGGCAGAAGGACTCCAAGAAAGCCTCCGGATACCAGCCAATTTGCCAGAGAAGCCATAGAGGTTTTCCTCCCCATCAAAGAGAGCAAGGAACTTCCAGCCAAGGGAGCCCCTCTCAACAAGGCTAGCAGAGAAGACGACCCGATGGTGAGTTCACCCATCTCTCCTTTTTCAATTAAAGTGAAACTAGTGGTGCCAGAGATTGAGGAGCAATGACAAATACCAGCAATAATAGTTACAGGCTGTACCAGATGTTTAATTGGACTTCCAATTGTTGAACAATTGGGAATAAAAACAAAAGCCTTAAAGCGCCCAATTAAGTTTGAACAGGTGGATGGGACATTAATTGGGGGGTCCCAGACACCCAAATCACTGAACTGGTTAGATTGGAATTTGGGAGACATCGTGACCTTATACAATTTATAGTAACATCAAAGATGTCAGGATCTGTCATATTGGGCCTTGTTTGGCTTGACAAGTGGGCTCCCACCATCAAATGGGAGGATTGATACCAGAAAATGTAAACTGACCTTTTCCAATCCTATGGCCACTATTGAGTTTTCCAAATTTGCTGGCAAATTGAGTGTAGCACTTTTACTGCATCAACTTTTAAGATTTTGAATAGCTCAGCTATCTCTTGTACAATGTTGCAAACCTCTGTCCATAGTTCTTCAAGCACTCTGTCTATCAGATCTAATTCCTTAAATCTATTTGTCACCTCTACTGTATATTCATCAGGGATATGATTTAGTTTATACCTGAGTGGCCTAGTGCTTTTCCCTACTAAATTTTGCAACAAGAAGTCACACTCCTGGTCTTGTTTTTACTGACTGTAGAGAGCTTTTCTATCTTTGGCTGCAGACCACATAGTCAATCTGATTTCTGTGTTGACCATATGTTGATGTCCATGTGTAGAGTCGTCTCTTGGGTTGTTGGAAAAGAGTGTTTGCTATGACCATCGTATTCTCTTGACAAAATTCTATGAGCCTGTGTCCCGCTTCATTTTGTACTCCAAGGTCAAACTTGCCTGTTATTCTGGTTATTTTGTGGATTGCTACTTTAGCATTCCAATCCCCCATGATGATAAGGACATCATCTTTTGGTGTTAATTCTATAAGGTGCTGTGGGGCTTCATAGAACCGGTCAATTTCATCCTCTTCAGCACCAGTGGCTGGGGCATAGACTTGGACTACTGTGATATTGAATGGTTTGCCTTGGATTCAGTTTAAGATATATAATCCAATAATTATTTTTCTAGTGGCTATTATATAGGTGTGTATTTTGTATGTTAAATTTAAATGTATAATTTATTAGTGGAAGATTTGGAATTCATAAAAAACTAAAAACATGAAGGGAAATTAAAATATGTGAGGAGTTGAATGTAGTTGAATGCAGAAGAACATTGTTATTTTAAGTTTAGTGACATATTTTGATTTCTCCTTCATATTAAGAGAAGTCTAAAAGTTTAGAGATCATTCTGAGCTGACCAGTATTGTTTTTCACTCTTGCTTGCTGTACCAAGAAGGGAGGAGGGCATCTTCACAATTTCAGAGCTTTCCCCCTTAAGGCTCACATTTTTTAATTCCAATCCTAGCCATATCATAGCCAGCCAGTCAAGGTGAGGTCTTGCAGTTCTGACCAAAAAAAGGCCATGAAGTCCTGACCTTGGTTTTGATAATAATAATAATAAAAACCCGGCATGGTAGTTAATTGTTGGACATTTTCACTCAGAATCTACAGCTGAAGCCTGTGAACGTTGGCTTCTCTTAGAGTACCTCTGGTGTTAAGGAGCTCCCGACAGATTGTAAGAGATTGAAATTCTACCTTGTTGGTATGTATGCTTTTCATGCTCTGCTTTTAAATCTGTATACTTAGTTAATAATAAAGCTTAAAATCCCTTTATTTACTGGAGTTTTTAAGATCTCTGGATCCAAATTAATGAAGTCCCTGGGAACCTAATAACTGCCCTGAAATTTGGTGAAACAATGTTTGATCTTTCATGAGCGTACAACTGAGAGGAGTTTATACTTGATTGAGAAAGGCTAGTGAGCTTCATTCTCCAAGTTCAGATGAAACAAAATTATAAGCTAAGGCAAGTTAGTCAACAAGTTATAAGGTCTAGGTTTGAATAGCATATAATTTGTTTAAATGAATGTTGCTAGCATGTTAAGTCATTGTATTTCCAAACTAAAGAATAACTCTAGAGATTAAAAAGATGGCAGATGAATTAAGAATGCCTTTAAAATGCTTTCTAAAGTTCTTTTCTATAGTTATAGAAATTATTTTAATCAGTTCAAACTTGTTGCTACTAAATTGTAATCTTATTTATTACATTTTTGTGACATCCATCTTATTTTAACAAAAAAATACCAAGTAAACTTTGTGTATGTTAAGAAAACCAGGTAACCTCATAAGGATAAGTTTTGAATATGTTACTGTCATTGGCATTTTTTCTTGTGAAAAAGTTTTTGCTCACCAATTGATTGTATCAGTTGTACTGTCCCGTCCCCACTAAATAATTGGGGTTATTACTTGATGATTGATAGCTACTGTTGGGAATTTGCTATGTCTCAATCACAAGAATATTGCACCAACTGATTTCCCTCTGAAGGAAACAGAAAATCTGTGAATTTGGGATTTTAATATTGGGCCATTGGGAGACGTAGTTCTGTCCTTTGTATTTTGACCCAAACCACATTCTGAATATTTCAGGCATTTCTGTGATTTAAATCTGTCTCCAAAATATCAGGCGACCGGCTAGATACTAACATCCATAGCCTTCTCTACCCTTGACATTTCTAAAACCAGCGAGGCTATGTCCTGCAAATAAATCAACCACCAGATACATAGATCAGCGTAAACTAGAGCATCGCAGACTTTGCAAAGAACTCGGTACAGTAAAAGCCTAACACCTGGTCTGCATTGCGCACGCGCTAACTATGCTAAGAACTACAAATCCCGGCATGGATTGTGCACCTTTACACAGCCACTCGCAAGCATTTTTAAAAAAAATAATAAAAAAAACCCTAAAATGCAGCCTTGAATTCGGACGGCAGCATATAGCACTTTCCCCTTATTTTTTGTGTTCCACGAGTAACCTAAATTGGCACAAGGGAAGATACGGATCCGTCTCGGCCAATGTATTAGAAGGTTCAAGTCCTTTGGTTAAAAAGGGGCGAACCGATTCCGGCAGCGCAGAAGTTGGTTCGCGCCTTCCATCGGGTTCCCATTTCATTCGTTCCCGGCTTCGCCGAAGCATGTCAATCAGCAACAGTTTCGCAGGGAGATAGGGGCGGGCTGAGAACCCAAACCCTTCTGCGGCGCCCCACCCTTAATCCCGCCTCCGCTTTCCTCTTCGCTATGGGGAGAGCGAGGCGAGAGAGAAGGTGGGGGGGGGGGGAAGAGCCCCTTCGCTTGCTTTCTTACTCCTCGCGCCTGCTGGGTGCGCCACTCTTCCCCTCAGACTAGCAGTTTCTGGGCTCTGCGGCCGGCGGGACCTCGCTAGAAGCTGACCTGCTTTCAAGCCGGGATCCGACTCCCGCGCGGCTCCAGCCTAGCGCCGCCCTCGCTCCTCCCCCCGCCCCCCTTCTTCTCCTTCAGGCCAGCTGCCGCTTGCTTCGCCTGGCTCCTCGGTGGGGGTCAGACGAGGCGTCCCCCGGCCCCGCCCTCCTCCGCTCCCTCCCTCCCCCCCCCCCGCTTCGTCCGGCTCTAAGTTGTCAATCAGGCGCCTGGGCTGAGATAGGCGACGGCAGCGGGCGGAGAGACGGGCAGCTACGCCACAGCCCAGCGGCGGCCATTCGTGGAAAAATAGGCCGACCTGCTCCTCCCAGCTCCGGCAGCGACCGGCCTTCTCTCGCCGCTACCCCCAGCACCCCGCCCTCCGTCCCTCCCCTCCCTCCTCCTCGAGCCGCGCCTCAGCGGGCGTTAATGCGGGATGAGCGGTACGTAGCCCCCCCCTCCTTCCCTCCCGCCTCCGCTGCCTTCCCGCGCCATCCCACCCGGCCGCCTCGTTCCTCCCGAGCCCCTTTCTCTCCCCTCCCTCCTTTTTCTCTCTTCCATTCCTTCTTTCTTTCCCAGCCCTCCTCCTGTGTACATCCATCCATCCATCCCTCCTTCGCTTCTGTTTCCTCCCATTTTCCCCTCCCTTGCACCTCCCTGCTCCTGCCCCTAAAGCATCCTGGGCCACTCAGTAGCCGTGGATGCTTTAGGGGCAGGAGGAGGGGGAGGGTTGTGGGTGTTTTTTTTTCCCCTCTGCCTTACAGTCTCCGATAGCAGAAACCAATCAAAACTCCCCTTTCTGGGCGTTCATCGCCAGCCCCTGTAGGCCGGGTTTAAAACCACGTTTCTTAAGTCTCCCTGTTTTCCACTAGAGAAGTGGACAGTGGCTTTCAACTAGCAAAAGCATGGAGGACCCAGGGGTCAGTGAGAACGTTCTGATTATTTTCTGTGCCAAAATAGAGGTAAAGGATTATGCTTATTAATTTTGTTTCCCCCCCCCTTTTTTTTTGAAGATCAAAAGAAGGAGGAAACTATGCCTTCAGAGGGAGAGAAATCTCCTGAGGCTGAGAACAACAATAAGAAGAACAAAACTGGAGCTTCTCAGGTAAAATGTCTAAAAAAATAGAGGAAAACAAGAGAGAGGGAGGGAGGTGGCAAACATTACTTACATGTATTTCCAGATGGGATAGATTTTTATCAAAATTTACTTTAGAGGTTCTTGAAAGGCTCAGTAGAAGAAGAAATTATTAGCTGAGTGGGTAATTTCCTATTTCTATAATTTTATGGTTAGGTAATTTTATTAATATGTACAATGCTGTTACTGCTACTCTTTTATAGTGTAGGTTCTAATACACATAATATTTTTGTTAGGATTCTCAGCCCTCCCCTCTGGCTCTGTTGGCAGCTACCTGCAGTAAAATAGGAACTCCTGGTGAGAATCAACCAACTGGACAACAGATTATTATAGATCCAAGTCAGGGTTTGGTTCAGCTTCAGAGCCAACCACAGCAGTTAGAATTAGTGACAACTCAACTTGCTGGAAATGCTTGGCAACTTGTTGCAGCTCCTCCTGCTTCAAAAGAAAACAACAACCAGCAAACTTCTTCTGTTTCAACTGCAGCAAGTCCCTCCAATAGCAACAATGGAAATGTATCCCCCTCAAAAACTAAACCAAGCAATTTTTCTGGAGTAACTCCAGGACAATTTCAAGTCATCCAAGTTCAGAATTCAGGTGGTAGCGTTCAGTACCAAGTGATTCCACATATTCAGACAACAGAAGGTCAACAAATTCAGATAAATCCTGCTAATGCCACAGCTCTGCAAGATATACAGGGTCAGATTCAGCTTGTTCCTGCAGGGAATAATCAAGCTATTATTACAACTACAAACAGGACAGCTTCTGGGAATATTATTGCTCAGAATTTGGCAAATCAAACAGTGCCTGTCCAGATTAGGCCTGGTGTTTCTATTCCGTTGCAGCTACCTATTGCTGGTACTCAGGCTCAAGTAGTAACTTCATTGCCTATAAATATTGGTGGAGTGACTCTAGCATTACCTGTAATAAATGTTGCAGCAGGTCCTAGTTCTGGACAAATTGTCCAATCCACTGATAGTGGACTGTCCAATGGAAATCAGCTATTGTCCACACCTGTCCCAACAACTTCTGTTACTGCTATGTCTGAATCTCCTACTTGCACAACTACAGCTGCTACATCATTAACAGGTACTGAAACATTAGTTAATACTGGAGAAACAGGCCAGTATGCAAGCACAGCAAATAGTTCTGAAACTAGTACTGAAGAAACTCAAACTACCACGTCTGAAACAGAGGCACAAAATTCTAGTCAGCTTCAATCCAATGGATTGCAAAATATGCAGGATCAATCAAATTCACTGCAACAGGTTCAAATAGTAGGTCAACCTATTCTCCAGCAGATCCAGATCCAACAGCCTCAGCAGCAGATCATTCAAGCAATTTCTCCACAGTCTTTCCAGCTTCAGTCAGGACAAACTATTCAGGCTATTCAGCAACAGTCATTGCAAAATATTCAGCTGCAAGCAATGAGTCCAACACAAGTACTCATAAGAGCACCAACTTTAACCCCATCAGGACAAATCAGCTGGCAGACAGTACAAGTCCAAAATCTTCAAAGTCTTTCAAATCTCCAAGTTCAAAATGCTGGGCTACCCCAACAATTAACTATTACCCCTGTATCTTCAAGTGGTGGTACCATTGCTCAAATAGCACCAGTAGCAGTTGCTGGCACACCAATAACACTTAATGCTGCTCAGATTGCTTCAGTGCCTAATCTTCAAACAGTAAGTGTAGCCAACTTGGGTGCTGCAGGTGTTCAAATGCAAGGAGTGCCAGTCACTATTACAAGTGTTGCAGGTAAGTCCTTTCCTTTTGCAAGTATTGTACTGGTAGTCCTCAACTCACAACTTCATTTAGTGATTGTTCAAAATTACAACTGAAAAAAGTGATTTATAGCCATGTTTCACGGTTCACGACCTTTGTAGCATCCCCATGATCATGTGATCAAAATTCAGATGCTTATGACCGTTGCTGTATCCCAAGGTCATGTGATCTCCTTTGTGACCTGACAAGCCAAGTCAATGAGGGAGCCAGATTCACTTAACCACTGTGTTACTAATTTATCAACTGCAGTGATTCACTTAACAACTGTGACAAGAAAGGTCATAAAATGGGCAAAACTCAACAAATGTCTCACTTAACAACAGAAATTTTGGGTTCAATTTTGGTCATAAGTCAAGGACTACCTGTACAGTATAAAATATATTTACCTCTTTATCCAATAGTATGTAAGGATAAATTTGCCATTAGAAAATAGTACCACTAATCAAAATATCTGAGCATTTACCAAGTCTTTTTTTTTTTCTTAATTTAATGTTGAATTAGAGGAGTCTTAACCCAAGAGTTCCAAAGTAGTTTTGGACAGTGCAAAGGGTTGCTATGGAAAATCTAGAAATTCATAGTAACTACACTGAGATTTTTGGGGGGGTTCTGGTATGTAATTAAACTGGACACTTAGGTTTCTGTCCTGGCTTGGTTGATTTTCATCTTTACGCCTTTTATAATATGAGTGATTCAGGACTGCTAAGTTTTTTCATTATTTTAATTTTTTGTTATAAATAGTAACTTAATTTGCATCTATTGATTATAGTTACAAATCAAATATCTACATTAGATAAATATATAGTTATATATGTCAATAAAAATTGTATATAATGTTTTGATTTAATAATTTTTTTATTCTGTTCAGGAGCCTGGGATTCATTTATACAAACTGACTACTAATCTGTTTCTTCAAGAAAACTATAGACCTGTGATGGCGAACCTATGACACGTGTGCCACAGCTGGCATGCAGAGCCCTCTTTGTGGGCATGTGAGCCATTGCCCAGTTCACCTGCTGCGCACGTGCACCTTCAGCCATCCAGCTGATTTTCAGGATGCGCAGGGAACGGGGCACATGCGGAAGAGGCATGTGCATAGATGGGAGTCATGAACATACATGGAGGTTGGGATTGTGCACGCATGTGCGGGGGTAGAGCATGGGGGAGTGCAGCATAACCCACCTCACAGCCTGTTTTGGGGCCCAGGAGGCTGCAGGGAGACCTGCTAGGCCCAAAATGGGGTGTGTGGGGGGTGCAGCCTGCCCTCCCACGCCCCATTTTTGGGCCCAGGAAGCTGTAGGGAGGCCTGCTAGGCCAAAAACAGGGTGGGAGGTGCAGCCCACTTTTCAAGGCCGGTTTTTGGGCCTAGGAGGCTTCAGAAAGGCCTGCTAGGCCCAAAACAGCATGGGGGGCTGTGGCCCATCCCTCCCATGGCCTGTTTTTGGGCCCGGGAGGCCTGCCAGGCCAAAAGGGACACAGGAGGGTCACATATGCATGGGGGGAGTCACATGGGGGGTCGTGCACTCGTGCTGGGGGCACGCATTGCATTATGAGTGCTTACGCACGTGCAGTGTTGCACACATGCACATGCTTTCAGCACACGAAGAGAAAAAGGTTAGCCATCACTGCTATAGACGATTTCTAAATCTGCAGAATAGGAGAATAAAATATTTTGAAAAATGCATAAACATACAGACAAATCTTTCAAAATTAATATATAGTATAGTTTGCAAACTTGGACTGTTAACTACTTTTCAGTTTTAAAATATTTGTTATTCCTAATTAATAGTTCTTCCTGGAAAAACAATCCTGCTTATGAATGAAAGATAAATAAGCTGTTCCATTTGGAATTGAGTTAGTAGTATAAATACTATAAATAGTATAAGAATCAGGTACCATTTCTTAATTAAGAAAGTGATCTACAAAGCATGGAACACATGCATTTGTATCATTCCATATCAAGTGGTCTGATTTCAGAAAAGTGCCCAGCTCGACCATCATGGATTTTGATGAAATTTGGTGTGAACATGCATACATGTCTCCAGTGAACTTTGGTAAAGTGTTAAGTTTGCCGGTGCAATACTTGCGGAGATATAGTCATTTGTTTGACCCATACTGCAGCCTTCTACAGTATGATTGAGGTTTTAGCAACTTTGAGACATAATATCTGCAGCAATATTTTGTTGAGAGAAACAAAACTTTGCCATCTTCTACAACTTGTTCTGCTCTATTAAACAAAACAATAAAAACATTCTCACGAGTGATCTCCATCTAGATAATTTGGAGCAAATTGGCCGAAAATGACTGGCACGAAAAAAGGGTAAAGTTTGGCTTCTTATATCTTTGGAAGGAAAGGTATGAGAAACGTGAAACTTTGTGCCTGATAACTTAGCAACACAAGATTGTCGAATATATTGCTTTCCAATACTTTATAAATTGAGTGTAAAGGTGGCGGTTTTTGTAAAAACACCAAAAATAGGGTATTTTCAGCCCGCTTTTACAAAAAAGACCTTGTGGAAACTCTGTTAAATCATTCTCATTAGAAAGCGCATGTTTCAACCCCCCTAAAAAAGTAGGGTTGGTGTTTCATTGCTGACGTATAAAGCCCTAAAAATAGGGACAAAGTTGAGGATGTTGCTATGGCAGCGACACATGCATTCTATTGTTTCATCTTGTTTATTTTATATAGACATCATTACTACTATTATATTGCGTTGGTCCATGGTGACATTGTCACTACCAGTTCACGCACTTGACCCAGCAATCCCATCGCCATAGGGGGCACGCCTGATAGCCATGCAATACCAGCCATGGGTCCGTACTGAAACATCCTGCTTTCTTCGATTTCTTCCTTTGGAGCATATATATATTTAAGTCCGTGACACTTTCTGTCGCAAAAGTTGAACAGATCTGTCGGCGTCAGTATTTGGTCAGTTGGTGATTGTTGGAGGCTGGCTTGAACAGCCAAATGTTTAGTTGTGCCGCCAACTCCATCGCATGGTGATTTGGTGAAACAAAATCACATGGTGAAACATTCACGGATTTAAATATATATACGTTCCGAAGGAAGAAATCGAAGAAAGCAAGATGCTGCAAGAAGAAAGATGGAAAGTTAGCAGCACAATAGCTGGCACGAGATCATCACCATTTTTTGCCAGTTGATTTACATTCAATTTCTGTCAGCAAAGTTTCAAATGACATGATTAACTTTGTGACCAAAATATCCAATACCATCAATCAGAATTTAAAATTGGCCGACATATTTCCCGGTTGTTTTGTCGCCTGCATTTATGGCAAAAAATGGTGGGTAAGCAATGTGGAAATTTCAATCGAACAAAATGATGTATTGGTAACATTTATGCATCCGCGAGGCCCTGCTCATTCATTTTATTGGCCTGAAAGACAAGATGTTTGTTGGATTCCAGAACCACATCTTATTTCAGTGCCTTCAGTTACATCGTCAGCTCGACAGTCTCAATTCCCAGTAACAACGCTAAAGAATGTAGTGCATAAATTCAATAATAAATAAGCGATCATTGGAATTTGGCAGTTCATACAAACAGTACGAACTTCAGCTTGGGAACCATATAAAATACCCACTTTAGGCTTGGCAACCTAGGATAAGCTGCCAAATTGCCGGCTTGGAAACCGGACAGAAACCCACGCAAGGCTTTGGAACCGCAAGGAAGAAACCAAACTACAGGCTTGGGATCCTGAACCAAGACACCCACCAGTGGGTGATATTCCATGGCTATCAGACGTGCCCCCTATGACGATGGGGTTTCTGGGCCAAGTGCCTGAACTGGTAGTGACAATGTCATCATTGACCAATGCAATATAATTTGAGAAATCATAGTAATAACATATGAGAATATTTTTATTATTTTTGTATAATAGAGCAGAACAAGTTGTACAAGATGGCCAAGTTTTGTTTCTTTCAACAAAATATTGCCGGAGATATTATGTGTCAAAGTTGCTGAAACCTCAGAATCATACTGTAGAAGGCTGCGGTATAGGGTCAAACAAATGACTATATCTCCGCAAGTATTGCATCGGCAAACATAACACTTTACCAATGTTCATTGGGGACGTGTGTGTATGTTCACACCAAATTTCATCAAAATCTGTGATGGTTGAGCTGGGAGCCCCAGACCACTTGACATGGAATGACCCATTTTCTTTACCTTTAACGTAGATACCGGTAATAAATATGCATTTGTATAAACCGTGGTCTTCTCTCTCTTGGTAAGAAAAATATGATTCACATTGACATTTTTTAAGAGAATCAGAATTCTCTGTAAAGGAATTCATATATAAATATTATTCTGCTGTTTCTTGCTGCTATATATGCAGTGTTTAAAAATATTATTACTTAATGTAAGTGATAGTTGGTTTTCCTTTTAAAAAAATTCACTAAGCCAAAATATGGTTATTTATAATTACTGTGAGGAAAAATAGTGGAAGAAAAACTTATATAATTTCAAGCACAGGTCACATTTGAACTATTGCATTTTAACAGTGCATACATTCTTTCACTTTTTACATAAATGAAATTACCTTTTTTAGGCCTACAGTAGATTTTGATCTAGTAAATAGTTTTGAATTTTATTACATTTCAAAAGATTGTCAATATAGTGAATTTATTATATAAAGGGAGTAATGATGATTAGAATCCTCATCTATTTCTTTTTACTTGTAACATAGCACTTTTTCCTTTTGTTAGGGAGATAATTTTGGATTGAAATGCAAAACAAGAAATATTTAATGTCTGTATTATATGTACCTATTCTTGTTTTATAAGAATGTGACTGTAACCATGAATATGCTCCTGTCTTGCCTCACTCCATAATTATTAACTAAACATCTTTCAGAACTGTGTTTCCCATCAGTATATTGGTGAGATGTCTTACCAGTACAACCAGTCATCAGACATAGATCCAGAAATTCATATAGCTCTCATTCTTGAATTGTTCAGA